CTAATATTTGAATTTTATATGTAAAGAAAATTAATAAAATAAAAATAGCATTAGCTTTCCACTTTTCTCTGTATTGTTTTGATAAAGATTAGGACGAGGTATCATTACCGGCAACTTACCTTGAAATTCTAATTTATTTTTCCAGAATAAAGTATAGTAGATAGCCCTTTTCAGATATTGAAGAATAGCAAAGATTAAATAGAATTGAGATGCTTTCTCATAAAATGGGTATTTGAACCCCTGAGTTATGAAGAGTCACCGAAATAACCAATGCACACAAGAGTCAGTCAGTGGAGAATAATTGGGTATGTGACGTCAGAAAAATTTCATGCTCTTTCAGCACTTACATTCCCATGGGAAGAGACAGAGGTGTATAACACCTGCCAGAATGTCCACTGAATGATGTGCAATGTGTATGCAAATGGCTCCAGACTCCAGGAGTGTTGACTCCTCACACTTTGGGTCTGGGCTTTGATGCTGGCTGAGGGAGCTCCCAGACAGTCAGGGTGGCCCTGAAGCAGAAGGAGGAAGGAGAGACTGGGAGCTTGGGGCAGGACCCTGAGATCAAGACCTGAGTCGATACCAAGAGTTAGAGGCTTAACTGACTGAGCCACCAAGGTGCCCCAGAGAAAGTAATTTTATAAATATAATTAAGGTAAGGATCTTGAGATGCACTCATCCTAGATGATGCAGGTGGATTCTGAGTCCAAGGACGAGTGTTCTTACAAGAGGAGACACACAGGGAGGATGAGGCCATGTGAAGAGGGGGTAGAGATAGGAGTTATGTGACCACAAGCTGAGGAACGCCTGGCACCACCAGAAGCTGGAAGAGGCAAGGAAGGATCGTCCCGCAGAGCCTTCGTAGGGAGCATGGCCATGCTTTGGGCTTTTGATCTCCAGAACTGTGAGAGAATACATTTCTGCTCTTGTAAGCCACCCACCCAGCCCGTGGTACTTTGTCACAGCAGCCCTAGGAAACTAATATGCCCTGGTAAACTGTGTGACTTATTGGTGACTTATTCATTTACTGTCTAGCTCCTCCCACTAGATCACGAGCTCTGTGGAGGGTAGGGACTTGGTCTTATTCACTTCTCTGTCCTCAGACATGTGTTGCTATTTTCCACTAATTCTGTCTTCTGAAGTCACCCTCCTAAATAGGGAAGACTCCTCACAGGGTCTTGTCCTTGCTTGGTCAGCAGGAAGCATTGCTGTGTTTCTACTTTGTGGATGACGCTTGACTCCAAATCATGTGTCAGGCAGGGTTCAGTCAGGAAAACAGACAACATACGAGGTGTTTTAACAGAGGAGATTAAGTAAAGGGTATTAGTGCAAGATGTTGGGGGGTTTAAAGAACAAAACAGCATAGGAGGAGCTCTGCAGAGCTCTGTGAAGGGGCACAACCTGGCCACTGTTGGCTGGTCTGGAGGGCACGAGGCTGGTCCTGGGAATACCAGAAGGCCCTAGAGGCTGAAACCAGCTGCCGCTCTGGGCTGAAGGGTACTGCTGGGACTTTAAGCAAACAGGGAGAAGGAAGTCCCTTCTCCAGGACCTTCTACTTGCTTCTCACTTCCTCCTGCCTTCTAGGTTCCCTCTCTGCTTTCCGTGAACAGAATTTAACGGGAAACCACCAGGCAAAGGCATCTGGGCAATGTAGTTTGTGCATAACCAGAAGACAAACTATAGAGAAGTGGATTGGGAGCTCAGTGATAGTAGCTCGTTAACCAGCACAGATGGAGATCATGTGCTTTTTGACCTGGCATCCAAAAGCATAAGAAGGATGAATCTTTTGCAGCTCCATGCCTACGTATAATTACTGAATTAATCACGTGTGTAATTTTTTTGCTAATGCCTGTCTTCCTTACTAGACTTCAAACTCTGTGAAGGAGCCTATTGTCTCTTTTCTGCCTGTTGTATCCCCAGGGTTTAGAACAATGACCATCATGGAGCTGGCATTTCTAAAGAGTTGTTAACTGCCTGACTACTTTTCTGGGTTTTTATCTCACTTGATTTCATGTTTTTGAAGGAGCAGACTATCCTTTATGTTATAATGAAAAGTCTTCTCTCCTTGTATAAATATGACATCGCCCTTATTTGTTAGTGCTAATATCCCAGAGGCAAGGCAGTGAGTGTAGGACAAAGTTGGCAGGAGGCCGCTCTGGAGTCTAAGTTACCTCACTGAGCTGTCTGCACCACACCAATTATTGTCAAATCTCCAATATCTGCATCTACTTGTTTCATGTCGACCTAATCGTGGACTCGTTCGAGCAGGCTTTGGGAAATTCCTTTACAGTCAGTCTGTCTCTATGAAAACTCAAAACGGATCATTTTCCTTCTGAATAATGGGGAGTATGATTGAGCACATGGTTCTTAACCAGGGATGATTTCTTTCCTCCAGGGAAGTTTGGCAATGTCTGGAAGTATCTTTGGTTGTCATAACTGGGGGAGGATACTAGCATCTAGTAGGTGGAGCCTAGAGATGCTGTTAGACACTCTACATGCACAGGAAAGCCCTCACAAAAAAGAATGATCTGGTCCCAAACGTCCATATCACCAATCAAGAAATCCTGATCAACTTTAAAATATATTTTCTTGATCATTACTCCATAAAAGGAAGTATAATATAGTAGACAAAGCATTGGTTTGGGAGGTGCCTGAGAGGCACAGTTGGTTGAGTGACCAACTCTTGGTTTCAGGTCAGGTCGTGGTCTCAGGGTTGTGGGATCAAGCCCCCTGCTGGGCTCCGAGTCTGTTTGGGATTTTCTCCCCCTCTCCTTCTGCCCCACCCATTCATGCTCTCCTCTCTCAAATAAATAAATAAATAAATCTTAAAAAAAAAAAAAAAAGCATTGGCTTGGGAATCTAAAAGATCTGGCTTTAAATCTCACTTTGTTGTACCAGCTGCTTAATCCACAAGCTGAGGATCCACTGAGGATCTTCTGGTCGTGCCAGGCGTTCCTCAGCTTAATGGATCTTAGAAAATCAACACATTGATGAAGACGTCAATTTCTCATCTATGAAGTGGGGGAATTAAATCCTGGTTTGTTGCATTATTATGAGGGTTACCATGAATTAAACAATGTAAGGTGCCTGGCACACAGGAATTCCTCGGTAAATAGCAGCTGGGTATGTGAAGAAAGCGTATATATTTGAATATGCTTATCCTACAATCAGTATCCCAAAAAGTACTTCTTTAACTTCTGAGTTGCTTTCCCCCCTCAAGGAACAGCAGTCTGAGAAACCACATAAAGCATACATCTCCCAAAGCAAATTTTTCATTAACGGTATTTATTTTAACAAAACCTTGGTCTGCACTGTTTAACTTATTCTCACAGTTTTAATTGGAGTCACCATATTCTTCAAAGTAATAATCTCATAAGAATTAGAAGAGGTCAAAATGTGCATATGTGGGGACAATAAAAACAAATGTTTGAAATTGGGACATATCAATGGCAGCGCTAGGAGATACTTTCAAGGGCCTTTAAATGTTACCAAAAAATAGCATAGCAATTAGATTTAGGCTGACCAAAACAAACCAAAATAACTTAAAACTTTCACCCTTATTTGTGAAAGATAATCTTCATGGTATTAAAAATATCTATTTAGCTATACCACAAATTATTTGGATTTTTGCTCTCTCTAGCTTGATTAAAAGGAAAGACTTGTAAGAGTGTATTATTCAAGCTGGTAAAACAATGCATGCTCATTTTAGGAAAACTTAGAAATGAGAGGCAAAAGAAGAGAATGATAAAAATGACCCATAATCCAATAACTGGAGAAAGACACTGAACATTTTGGCATATTTCCTTTCCATTAGACACTAAATGAATATTCTTGGAGGCTGGGGCTACCACTCCAGATTCATACTAGACTGGATAAGTGCATCAGGGTCTGTATTCTTAGCACTTTGCAACATACCTAGCACATATTTGGGGTGCCTCTCCTGCCAAAAATACTTGTTGGCTGGTTGAATGGGTCCTTAATTAAGTATATGTATTAGGCTATAAGACTGTATGAAAATAGCACTCCACTGAAGGCTTAAAAGCACAAATTACCTTTTATAGTTGCTTATGTATTAGGTTGTATCATAAGAAATGGCTTATCTATACCAGTTTTTGACCTGAAAGTTGGAAATTTAATTACAACCTCTATTATATCATGAGCCTTTTGAGAACTGAAAGTGAATATTATTCCTCTTTTATGCCACCTGCAAAGTTGGGTGAGAGCTTTGTAGAAAGAAGATGTTTAAACATTAAACATGGCTTTGTGCATATGTGTGTGCACTGTGAGGTCCCCAAAGCTTTTATATAAGATCAGTAATTGTGGAATTGTGTATTTCATTATTTTCCCATATGTTTAAATAATAACCATATTTTCACATTGCTGGTGGGAATGTAAAATAGTTCAGCCCTGTGGAAAGCAGTTTGACTGTTCTCCAATAAGTTAAACATAGAATTACCATATAACCCAGCAATTCACTCTGGGTACATACCCAAGAGAACTGAAAACAGGTGTTCAGACAAAAACTTGTACACAAATGTTCAGAGCACTATTCCTGATAGCCAAAAGGTGGAAACAACCCAATTGTGCATCAGCTGATGCATGGATGAACAAAATGTGGTATATCCATACAATGGAATATTATTCAGGCATGAAAAGGAATGAAGTAGTAATATAAGCTCTAACATGGATGAGTCTTGAAAACACTATGCTAAATGAAAAAGCCAACTACAAAGACCACATAGTATGGGATTCCACTTATATGAAATATCCAGAATAAGCAAATCCTTAGAGATAAAGCAGATTAGTGGTTGCCAGAGACTGGAGGGCATGAGGGATGGGAATTTATTGTTTAACAGATACAGAGTTTCCTTTTGCACTCCATATGAAAATGTTCTGGAACTAAATAGGGTGATGGTTGGACATCGCTGTGAGGGTAGAGAACTCAGACATTGTCATTAAGATACATTCTCTCTTTTCCCTTCTTATTTCTCTCTCTTTTCCTCTTTCCCTCTTTCTCTCACCTTTGCTGTCTTCTGAATGTTGGCCTGCTACACAGGTGGACTTCCACTGTGCAGCAGAACGAGAAGGCAGCACATAGCCTCTCACAGAGATCCAGGCATCCATCATCAGCTGAGGCACCCCAGGTAAAAGAGGGGGTCTCTTAAACTGGCCAGGCAGTATTGGGCAGTGCTTAAGAAGAAAGATCTCCTAACACTCTTACTTTATCAACTATGTGATCTTGAGCAAGTTACTGAATCGCTTCACACTTCATTTCCTCATCTGAAAAATGGAAATAACCACAGTACTGACCTCCTTGGGTTGTCATGAGGGTTAAAGGAGTTAATATATGTAAAGTGTTTAGAACTGGGTCTGGCACATAGCAAGTGCTCTTAAGGACTGGCCATTGTAATCATTGCTTCATCATCATTATCAAAGCCTCTAGTTGTCAAATCCAGGGGAAGGAATTGATTGGCCACGCATGCGCCAGTGAACTCCCTTGTGCCCAGGGTGCTGGAGTGGGCAGGTCCACCAGAGGCAGTCCCCAGAAAGAATGAGGTCCTTACCAGAAGGGAGGAAGGGAGCTGGGTGTCCCTAAACACTGATGGCTATCCAGCTGCCTACCGCTGCTGCAGACAGCTTCAAAATCCCCTCTCCTGGGTTCCTGGGTGGCTCAGTTGGTTAAGCGGCTGCCTTTAGCTCAGGTCATGATCCCAGGGATCGAGCCCTGAGTCAGGCTGCTTGCTCTGCAGGCGGCCTGCTTCTCCTTCTCCCTCTGCCTGCAGCTCTCCCTGCTTTGTACTCTCTTTCTCTCTCTCCGGCAAATAAATAAATAAAATATTAAAAAAAAAAAATCCCCTCTCCCTATGGTATAAATACACACAACACAGCGGAAGCTAGTGCTTTTGTGTTCACTCTGCGCCTAGCCGAGTTTTAAGCCATTTATGTTTATTGCATCATTTATTACTTACAAAGTCCCTGTAAGACAAACTATCCCTGTTGTTACAAATGAGGCAGGCACACAACAGAAAGGTGATGGAACTCGCCTCATGTTGTCAGGCCAAGGCATGATTTCAGGAGTCGGTGGCCAGAGTCTGAATTCTCAGCCATTCAGCTCTATTGCCCTCTGCTAACAGCAGTTACAAATAAGTTAATGAAAAGAAAAGAAAACAAATTGGTGAAATTTGCACAGGTGGCATTGGGTCGGCCAAAAAAAAAAAAAAGACTTGTTTTTTAAGAGCACAAGTATGTTTGTAAGGTTGTGACTTAAACACAAGATATAAAGGACTAGCAAACTCATGAAATGAAGTTCTGTTGGCAATCCCATTGTAAAGAATAAATATTTGTTAGCTTGAATAAATAACTAAACTTCCCTAAATTTAAATCCCTCTTTCCACTGAAAACTGAAAGATTTGGAGGTGGGAATCTTTGAGGAAACCCAAGACTTATCAATTCTCACATATTTGTGATCTTCATGCAGGCATCCTTGCTAACAGGCTTAACCCAAGGACCTCCGGTCAAGCAAACAGGTCTTTTACTGACAATGGAAAGGTAAACACGACCCTGAGGCATGAGTGAGTTAGTTGTCTTCCATTGTGGGTCTTGCTCAAAGCACCTCTGGGTGTGCAACAGTTTTTAGGACTGAGTGCCCCAGCTGGCGATTACATAAAGTGACGTTTGCTTGCTTTGGCCAAACATCCGATACCATTGGATAAAGAAGGAAACAAACACTGTTTAAATAAGCAAATAAGGAGAATGTAGAGGACTGGACCCATTCCTGCCTGTGACAAAAGAGAGGCTCGGGCACCTGGGTGGCTCAGTTGGTTAAGCGACTGCCTTCGGCTCAGGTCATGATCCTGGAGTCCCGGGATCGAGTCCCACATCGGGCTCCCTGCTCAGCGGGGAGTCGGCTTCTCCCTCTGACCCTCTTCCCTCTCGTGTTCTCTGTCTCTCACTCTCTCTCTCTCAAATAAATAAATAAAATCTTAAAAAAAAAAGAGAGAGGCTCTGCTTTATATTTTGAGCATGGAGTTAGACCGAAGTCAAACATATTTATTTAATAACAATAAAAAAGAACAGCTGTGGAAAATATTTAGAAGATGATACATAGAGAATCACACACACAGATAGTTACAGCGTAGACAAAAGAGTGGTGCCAGGATATCAGAGTTTTTCTTTTTCTTTTTTTTTTTAAGCCTTACTTCCCTGAAATTAAAAAAAAAAAAAACCCACACAACTGTGATTTAAATAACACCATTAATAAATATCACTCAAAAAAGATTCAAATAGAGCAGATACGGGATAACACCTAGCATTTTTGAGTACCTGCTATGCACCAAAAAAAAAACATTCCAAATGTATTCATTTATTCAGTCCTCTGATTTCTGCGGAGATGGTGATTATTCCTAACCCGGTTTTAGCAGATGGGGCAACGGATGCCTTGAGTTGGGAATTGCCCTGGGTAAGATCCCCCAGCATCTAAGCTCTGCTGTAAGGCAGGCGGTTGGATTCAAAGCGATGTGCGCAACTACCAGACTCCCTGGAGTTTGTAGGGGTTGTTTAAGGAAAAGAGCAGGAGGCCAGGTTTCTGCACCTGTCACCCCTTACCCGCCCCACCTCCAATCCCATCACTGCCCAGAGGTAAGGTGGCTGAGCTGTCCCCGCTTGCCTGAGACTTTCAATTTTTTTAAAGATTTTATTTATTTGAGAGAGTGTGAGTGAGAGAGAGAGCACAAGAGTGGGGTGAGGGGCAGAGGGAGAAGCAGACTCCCCCCTGAGCAAGGACCCCGATGTGGGACTCGATTGCAGGACTTTGGGATCATGACCTGATCCAAGGGCAGATGCTCAACTGACTGAGCCATCTAGGCACCCCGAGACTTTCCCAATTTTTAAAACCAAAAGTCTTGTTTCCCAGGAATGGACAAACTAGGATGGTTGTTCACCCCACCCAGCGGGCACTTCACAGGTAATAGTTGGCTTTGTGTCTTTTGCATGAGTATATAAATGTGCTTTCATAACTTTGTTCACACAGACACACGCACGCTCCTCTGGGACCTGCTTTTCTCATGTCTCACTGTGTTAAGAAGCCTCTTCCCTTCCCGCTCCTTTTAATAACTGCATATGCTTTCATTGTAAAGTTGTACAGTTGCTCACATAACCACTCCCTCTGCTCTATTAGAGTGAGGAAAAAAAGCATTATCAAGGAAGAGGAATAATGGTGATATTTGAGGAAGAAGCCAACAATTTAAGGACAAAAAAAAAAAAAGAAAGAAAGGAGGAATAGAATGAATAAGGGGAAAAAAAATCTCCAAGAAGCAGAAACAAAAAGAAAACGCGAATGGGGAACAATGATGGGCATGATTGTATTTCCAGAGGAAGGAAGGTCTCAGTAGATGAATGTCTGGAAGTCGAGAATCCCGCTCTGGTTCCACCCCTAGAGAGCTGAGTGCCCACGGATGAAAGGCTCCGCCTCAGTTTCCATGTCGGGAAAGTGAGAACGGTCAGTCTTGCCCAGCCAAGTAGGGAGAATAGCTGTGAGGACTGTGTGAGTATAAAGCACTTGGATTAATTACACAAATATAAGGCATTAGATGGCATCCTGGTTAAAGAACCAGCCGACAGGTGTTAACTGTGATCACTGAAGTGTATGCCTCAAAGGAAGAGATTACAGGGTGGTGAAAGATTCTAAGTTGATGATTCTCGTTATGTAGAAGATTCACCCAGGGAGGTTGTTAAAGAGTGAAAATCCAGAGCCCCACCGCAGAATTATTGAATTTTTCTCCAGAAGTGGGACCTGTGCGTTTGTTATTTTAATGAGTTCACGTAGGGCATTCTGATGCAAACCATCCAAACTGGTGAACTGAGGGCCAGGGTGCCACACACCAACAGGGGGTGCAACTCACTTATGTGACAATGCAAATGGCAGCAGCTGGAGCCATGCGATGCTCAGCCTGGGAATGCAAGCCTGGCCTTGTGACAATCAGGCCCCCCTGAAAACTATCAGAGATGCCCCTTGACCCTTTCCTAAGGACGGAGAAAGGGCCATGAGCGCCAGCTGTGCCCTAGAACTTTTCACATACATGGGTTTTTTTTTTTAATTTATTTTTTTATTTGGTTGGAATGGACATAACATAAAATTAACCACTTTAAAGTTTACAATTCAGTGGCATTTAGTGCATTCACCATGTTGTACAACCACCTCCTCTATCTAGTTCCATGTATATGTTATCTGACTTAATCTTCACGACATTCTGAAAGATCCAATATTTGTTATCTGCGCAAGTGGCAGAAAGGTGGCCAGAACAGCTTTAGGAATTTGTCCGAGATTGGACCGTTGGTATGTAATGAAGCGGGGATGCAAACCCATGTCAACCATCCAAAGCCCATTCAAATACATGAGTAGAAGGAGGGACCCTGGGATTTCCTATTTTCATGGAAAATATTGAAACAGAACTTAGGACATTGCAGCGTTCATGTCATAACATTAGTTGAACGAAATCAATAGGTATAAGGCTGTACCTCTATCTTTTCGCACTTCCCACCTGCAATCAGTGACCTTCCTTTCTTAAGGACATGTTCTGCATAGATGTCCAGTCACAGGTTTCAATTTAAACACAAGGTAAATCAACTGATAGAAAAGAAAGGGAACCTTCCCAGACTGTAGATAAGCCCACAGAGAATAACATATGATAGGAGGTGTCTTCTGCCTCAGGACCAATAGGACACCAGTGGACTCAACCCTGGTCAGCCGAGGGAGGTGGGGCAAACACACCTGTAGATAGGGCAGGCATATAATTCATCACCCTAGTGGAACCGGGACATTTTCAAAAGGATACTCGGACGGGGTGCCAGAATATCAGGCCAAACCAGGGCTGTCCAAGACGAATGAGGACTCGTGGTCACTTAACTTGTAGGACCTCTTACCAGGAGGCTGAAAAGCTATCACTCCTCAGCTGTGTCCAAAAGCAGGAGTAGAGCAAACAATACATTGAGAAATAAATGAGAAATAAACTCAGAAAACAGTAAAACTCAGCAAGGAAAAACCAAGCCAAGTGAAATACCCATGAAGGTTTAAAGTTAGTTGATTGCAAAACAATAGTGGGGAGAGGAGTAAAGAGTAAGAAAGTGTGCAAGAAAATATGCACCTGGCCAAGCCAAATGAATCTTGAACCTCCAGCCCCCATAAAACCAGCAGAAATGTAAATGTTCAGTGAGGGCCTGTGGCAGACCAATTAAGTCTAAGCTAAAATGGCTGTAAAAGAAAATGCATCTTGAAGTTGGAACAGAAGCTAAATGGAAATCAGATGACTTAGGAGAAGAAAAGCCAGCAAATGACTCATAAAAATATCCCTTGAAAAAGGAAAGTTAACAGAAAAACAGAGAAACATCCAAATAAAATGAATTCTACCAGTTCAGGGTCTGGTCCAGCAGGAGGTGTCTGGTGGTCCTATCAAGTCACAGACACAGGAGAGAATTGCAAATTATGAGTCTAGTGGAGCTCACTCCACTGGATTGCAAAGGTGAAGCAGATGGCTGGTGTGTGTGTGTGTGTGCGTGCGTGTGTGTGTGTGTGTGTGTGTAGAGCTGAGCAAGATAAATGTGGAGCTGCCCAAGGCTTAGCACACAAGTTACCCAACTCCTAGCCTCCCTGACCCCCAATTCTCAGGAAGGGCGGGGAGGTTTACTGAGCACAGCAATAAGACTTTAACCATTTTGTGAAGACCTTCGCTTGCCAGGGTTTTGCAAGCAATTTTGCCCTTTATTATTGGGATGGGATTGTTTTCCCCATTTCATCCTGTGGGATGGAGAAGCCAAGATTCGGCAGTTTTAAAGGCCTGGGCTCAAAGCTCAATATTTTCATTGGTAGCTGAGTGACCCTTGGGCATATATTTTGCTCTCTTGGCTTTAGTTTTCCTGTCGGTACACAGAAAAAATATTACTTCCTTGGGTATTTGTGAAGATAGAGAGCAGCCTTGAGAATTCCCAGGGGATTTGTCTCGCACACAGTATGTGCTCACAGTGAATGTGTCTCCTTCCCCTTTCCCGTACTAGAGAAGAAATGATTAGAGGCACAGAAGATTCAAGTTCTTACTCGAAGTCAGACAATATTTAGGAGCCATGTCAGGACTAAGATTCAGTGCTTTTGTTTCCCCCCAGCACAGATGCTGTTCTCCCCCTTCCTGCAGCTCACCTGTGTGTTCACCCGCAGCAGGGGGTAAATGGTCTCCAGTGTGCGACAGGTCCCAATTCAAGAGCCAGAAAGGTTTTACTCTCTACCTCAGGACCTTCTACAACACCATGGAAGTGACTCCTCTTCCAACGAGACAAACCTGGAACTGCAGGGCGGGAGGGGCTTTAATATACCCCAAAAGTAAACCCCAACTAATGAGGGTCAGGAGTCAGTGGGAAAATGGTCCCAGTCTCCCTGTCCTGGTTCAGCCGAGGTTCCCTAGTATGATTGATCCCTTTGCCCACGGTAATAACCTGTGGCTATGGACTCTATACCCCTCATTAGCTTTTCTCCCTTTCTTATCTCACTCTCCCTCAGCTTCCTGGCCTCCCCGAGAAACCCCCTGTACCCAGCCCGCTTTGGGGAAACCCAGCTAAGACACTGTCTCTTTTCCCGGTCTCAGGTGAGGACCTTGCATGGCTTTGCCTTCTGCCTTCCTCTGTCAGAACTGCAAAAATGTCCCTTGGAGAAGAGCATCGTAATAAGGGCTCCTGTTAACTGAGCATGTACTAGGTGCCAGGCAATATGCACAGGGGAAAAAAAAGTTAGGATGACAGGTCTGATACAACAACAAAAAACACTTCTAATGGTACTAGCGTAACTTACATCAGTGTGGGGACAAATATTTCTACCTCCTACTTCCTCACATAGAGAGCAGAGACAAAGGTGAACCAGACCTGAGATGTCCAGAAGTAGCACGTCTAGTGACAGATGACTGCAAGGGAATGCTTAATAAAACTTTAAGAACAGGTGAGTGCACTCGACTGTTCTATTGTTCCAGGAGATAAACCCCTTCTGTCTTCCCCAACTTTTACTAGGAATGAGCCACATAACTGCCTGTATTAACAGGCTCTTGGTGGGGAGGATAATGAAATCCTACACATTTCCTTTGACATGGGGCAGAGAAAGGAAAGTTGCAGCAAAACACAAGTCCTGACTAAGAGGAAACAGGCAATCGGAGTAAGAAGCTACTAGGGGAAAAGTCATCCTCCACCAGAAGGCTACCCAAGCGATTCCTGGATTCGCAGCGTAGATATGAAGAAGGACTTGAGCTGAATTTTTTTAATAAAGGAAAGTGACTCAAAGAGCTGAATTTCGAGGCTTGGGGAGACACGAAAGAGTTGAATTATAAATTCACTCTCTCACTTAATTCTCAAACGGTGATACCCATTTGATGGATGAAGATGTTGAGGCTCAGTGGGATTAAAGTGAGGTTTTTAAGGTGTGGGGGTGTGATTTGAACTCAGCTCTGAGTTTGAAGGCTTGCATTATAGACATCCTGGACCTGGCTTATATTAGGTTGGAAAAGGACTCAGATCTCACTCAGATTTGCCCATCCCATTTTGGGTTGTGCTTTTAAAAACCTGGCTTTACGATGTTTTTCACATTGGCTAAAAGTATAAGATCGAAGTCCTGAAGATTCATCAAATTTCCTTTTCCCTCTTTTCACCCCCTAATCACCAGAAAGGAGACTAGTTCTTCCTGCCACAGGTGTTGCATCTTCAAAATCCTGTGTGGGTCACACACATGAACATGTGCACACGCGCTCGGGCATGCGTACACACACACACACACAGCAGTCTGCTTAGGACAGTGCAGACTGAAGTTGCATAGGTGCCACTGGGTCTATTGCCGATCGAGTATTGGACGTGTTTGCTTGGGTTCTCTGGACAGGAACCAGAGATCATGTTCCTGTTACAGAGTCTGAGTTAAGAGAACAACATTTGGTAGCATGGACTGTGGCCTTCCATGCATTTATGCAGTTCAGAAACAACAACAACAACATCAAACCCAGTATCTTCAAGCTTCCCAAGCA